TTCAAGATCTAAATTTATGCACTAAAATGAACAAAAAATCATAACATCCAAAACTAGTTAGATCTAACAAATGCATCATCAAGATTCAAACTTTATACGTCTAGAAGATAGATCTAGGTGAACAAGGTCCAGATCTACAAAGCTCCAATGCAACCAAAACTTCTCCAAGAAGTTCCTTCTTCTCCAAGGTGCACCATGCATACTCAAAAGCACTCAAAAACACCTCCATTTAGCACACAAGTTTCAAGTATGGTTAGGGTTTCATGGAAGGGATGTTGGAGGGATGGTGGCTGAGAATGAAGTGGGTTGGGGGGAGTTAAGGAGCTTAAATAGGGCTCAAACCATGAAAATACAGTTTGGGAATTGATTGCATACGCCCATTATACTTTTGGTACGCCCAGTGAACTCAAGGTGCCTCAGTACACCCAACGTACTCCCCTTTGTACGCCCAACGTACTCAGTACATCCCAAAACCAATCAAACTTCAAACGGGCATAACTTTGTTCTAATTCTGATTTTGACATTCTTTATATCCATGGAAAGGTAACGAGAAGCTATAAACTTCTATCAATTAATACTTTCCTTAAAATATTCCAAACAAAAATCTAAAATTGATAAAAGCCCTAACTAACACTTTACCGAAATACCCCTTGGCGCTAAAACACAGATCAAACTCCCGAATCATCAAAATTACATTACCCACACCTAAATAGGTCTAAATCTCTTTTCATCAAAGGCCCTAAGCCTGATGATACTCGGTCTTCGAGTTACCATCCCCATATAAGAAACGATTCAGAACAAGGTGTTACAACTCTCCCTGACTTAAATTTGATTTCATCCTCAAAATCCCTCCTCACCACCCTCATAAGAACCAACGTTCCGAAAAATCCTTCTAGTGCTAAACAAATCACTGAAGCGATAATTGTCGATCCAAAACATTACTTCTATAATTTCGAAGCCCCATAACTTGCTTGATGAAAACATCTGATACAAAAATATCATGATTATTCGTAATGCGAGTCGCATCCCTATAAATGCTATAGAGAAGCACGAGCAACGCCAACATATTCTACAAGTTCCTAACTATAAGACATAATCAACTCAATCAATCTGCTTCCCTAGACCGGGAACCCATCAGATCTAAACTTTAGAACCCATATTCCAGAACTGATATTCATCCTTTCATTGAACCCACCCATTGACTTTGACTAAGAACACCACCAAACATGTGGAATAAAGCACACAAAACACATCAATCATGAATTTCAACCAATTCCAAGTCCATAAGTTGTACTTAAAACCTTAAATGAACTCTTGACTACTTAACATGCCATTCTCAAGCACTTCTCCTATGAGTAATGATGAGAAATCCAAGAATTTTCACATTTGCCACCAATTCTTATCAACTTAGGTGTAACCCCACCTGGCAAATCACTCGAGACATTCACAATGTACTTCATGATTTCGGACTCAATAACGATACGTAACCTTGGTACCTAACCCATAATAATAACTCACGAACCAACATGGTTTATAACGCAAACACTCTGCAAAAGTCTTTCTGATGCACGATTGATGCTGCCAATAACCCTTAACTCCTTACTTTATCCAAACCAGCTGATTTGTGAGTCTCCCGACTTCCATCAACATGACAATATCAAAAGTAACACAAGAAGAATAAATGAACAATCATGATCACTGGGCCCACAAACTATGTCTTGAATACCCCTACAAGGTCCTCAACATAGGTCTGGATTGCCTTCGAGCCCACAACATGAGTATAAAATTCCTTACCCGTCCCTCGACCCATGTCTGGAATGCTCTCGATATTACACCGATTTTGTCAACATTACATCATTCACCTAGCACCCCCTAGGCCTAACGATACCCACTTCATTCCATTTCCTTGTAAGGACCTAAACAACACCCCTCTCAAAGCCAACTGAGCAAAACAATGCCAAAATCTTACCACGCCCAATTCCTTTTACATAATAAATTGCTACCTGCAACGCCCCATTTCTAGTATGTAATTTGAATATAGTAATTTTCTTTCTTAAGAGGTACTCGACGAATCTGTAGCTCAACTCGCACTACTAGAAAACAGCCCTTTAACGACGCGCAAACAATGAAACGCGCTAATAGAGGACACGCATTTGTACATGCCCTAAAAAATAGTGTCAATTTTGCAAATATGAAGGATAGAGGACACGTATTTATGCATGCCCTAAAATCAGTGTCAGAAAAGAAAAAAAATGAAAATGTGGAGGACGCCTTTCATAAAATATGTGTCATCTAAGTGTGTCGCTTTATAATTTTTTAATGAAACTCACGTTTTAAGTGGGATTTCACCCGCCTATTAGATCCCAAAAATTAAACCCCCCCCCCCCTCGCCTCTTCTAATTAGCAAGAAATAGACCTAGGGCCTTCATCTTCATAGTAGAATTGCTTTTGCTTTCATGATCAAATGCCCCGCGATACCGATTGTGTTTTGATGTTTCCAATCTTTATCTCAGTGTTGTAAGCCACTATAGGGATGAATTACTTATCATTTTGTGTGCATCTATCTCCCTCTCTTTTGAAACACGAAAGATCTCTTTCGGGTCTTGGAACCAAACGGGTCAGCTTAATTGGGCTTGGAAAAGCCCCAATAACTTCATCTTCTTCCATTTCTGCTTATCGAAGTCTTGGTGAATTTGTTGCTTCATCTGCTAAAGCTTCTTAAGCTAACAATGTCAGTGTTGCTCTTGCTTCTTCACAAGAGTTAAATTCTAAATTGAAGCTTACAACTGCCTCAACAATAGCAATTGGTATATTCCATTCAAGAATGTCGTTGTTGATCTTTATGTGCATTTATAGTGCCAAATATTGATCATAGGTCAAAGTGGGCAATTACATTCAAAGAATATAATTTATGTACTGCATTTATATTAAAAAAAAATCAACATGTTTTGGTTTTACAGCTTGAGGAGTTCCGTAAAAAGAAAGCAGCAACTAACAACTAAAATCACAATGCTCAACAAATCCTTATACAACAACACAAGGTTCTATTAATAAGTCTTCTCCTAAGATACCTTCATCTTCTAACGACTCAAATCACAATGTTCAACAAGCCAATGGCTCAACATCCAGAGGTAGGTAATTAACTAATTATTAATTAATATTATATTTCATTTGATCTCATATTGTTATAAAATCATGAATTTGATCACCTTTAAACTTTCAGATTCTTTGTTTGAAGTTGTGAAATCTCTACAATATCCTAGAATTTTTGATAGGAACCTTAGTAATGTTCTTGATCATCTAGTATCTGAAATCAGCTCTGAATCTGTATCTAATACCTTTGGATATGAGGCTGTAGCCTCAACAAGATTACCTTCAAGATGATCACGTCCATCTTTTCTGGATTCAATTCTTCCAAATGTAGAAAAAGATAAAGCAATTAATCCATTCAGTTCAAAAGTTCACCCTATTGATGCTCCTCCTATTACTTAAAGTTTTATTTATTTGTATATTTATTTTATATATCTTCTTAATTTCATTTTTTCGATTATAGGTGCATTGTTAGGGACATATGAAGATATCAAATTTAAATCCGAGTCAAAGAAACATTCTCTAAAGTCAATTGACTTTCTTAACCTTGGAGGTGGACCATGTTAGAAAAGAAACTCAACTACATAGAGAATGTTTTCTCAGGAGTAATTTTGGGAAAAGAGCTTGTAAATGCACCTCCCAATGTACTTACCCCTGGTTCGTTATCCTTCTCATTGTCAACTGTTGATAGAGACATAGAGTTAAAATATAGTTTTTCATTTTTCTTTTTTAATAATTCTAACAAGGGTGTTAGCGGAAGAAGCTGAAATTCAAGATAACAACGGTGTAGGCTTATTGTAGTTTCACATGCATCATCTGTAATGGCGATGAATTCTTCTTATGTATGTGATCAAGAGCCCGATCTTGTGGAGGCTTATTGTAGTTTCACATCAGTCTTTCTTTGCAGCTGTCCAAAGGCTAAATTTACTATCTCTTTAGGATCTGTTTGTTAAATTGACTCTGTGTAAAAGACGTGAATGCCTTATTATATAGGGTTTTGATGCGTTACATTTATAGGATGTAGTAGCTTCTTCTGGTCCTCTTCTTGAAGTTTTTCTTCAGAAAGCAGCCATATGTTGTACAACTATGCATTATGGAGCAACACTTGAAGCAATTTCGTATATGTCTTGTGAGCATCGGCAACTACTTTTAATACAATTTATTATTGCAACAATCTCTCAATATGATTTTCCTCCCTTACAATTAATTAACTTATATTTTGTCTTTCGTTTTAATCTTTATAGACATAATGAAGGAGATTTTGGGGGTATTTGTTTGTGTTGTTATTTGAAGGTGATGGATGTGAAAATTTTGAACTAGTCGTTGTTGTGTTGTGTAGGTTTTCTTAAGTTTGGGGTGAGTTCATTGTTGGAATCGGTGACATCCAACTCTACATCGATAGTGGTTCAAGTAATATCACATAGCGGGGAAGGGATTGTATAAAGTGTTGTGTATGCCTTACTTGGTGTTTTCGCAATGTCAAGGGTAAACAACAACAACAACAACAACAACAACAACAACAACAACAACAACAACAACAATAATAATAATAATAATAATAATAATAATAATAATAATAATAATAATAATAATAATAATAATAATAATAATAATAATCCATCAATTAAATTAAACACAAGAAGGATTAAATGCAAGAAATAGCAACATACTATCTCATTGATTTGTTTATTTACAACTTGTATTTTTAACTTGAAAAGAATTATTTGTGTTTTTTTCCTTGTAGGTTCACAAATTTGCAACTATCTTGCAACAGTTGGCGGTCGTATGCAGTTTTAGTGAAAAAATAAAATGGAATTCTCTTCTCTCTTGGGATTCTTTTTTTGGTGGTTGGTTGTCTTCAAACGTACAAATCTGTAACTATGAGGGAGTTGTATGAGAAGTCAGCAAAAATGGAGCACGATCTTCATGGAGTAGAAGCTATGCGTGCCGAGCTTATACAATTACATGCTGATATTAAGGAGTTGACTTCTACACGCCAAAAACTTACTAGTCAAGTTCAGGGTACAACTCAAGATCTTGCTAGAGCTACTACTGACTTGAGCATGTCCCAGGTCTGAAGTCAGAAATTCATGGGCTTAGACAAGAATTACAACATGCAAGGTGACTTCATCATTCATGTCCCTATAAACATGTTACATTGCATATGGATGATGTAATCAAATGATATTTCCTTCTTGAAGGGCTGCAATTAAACATGAGAAGAAGGGGAATGCAGAGAACTATAAACATGGTCAAGCGATGGAGAAGAATTTACTCTCTATGGCTTGTGAGTTGGAAAAGTTGCGTGCTGAGATGGCTAATGCTGAAAAACAGGCCCGTGCTGCTGTAGCTGTAACTGCAGCCAATCAAAATCCAGGTAGGTCATTACTTGAGTTTCAGTGTTGTTGATGGTTATTTTTGGAAGTTATCAGTGCTTGACTTCTTGGGTGCTCTTCATACACAGGATATAACCCAAATTATGTTAATGCTGAAGCTAACTATTTAGGGAATCCTTACCCTACAAGTTATGGCATTAGTTCCATGAATAAAATGAATCTTGTAAGTTATCTCATTTTGTTAGTTACTTTCTTGGGGTGTGTTTCTTTTTGGGTCTCAATTTTTTTTTTATTACTGTTACAATCAGGTGCAGTCTGTTGCAGAAGGTTACCCTCAATATGGGCCTATGCCTTGATCTTGGGGATCATATGATATTCAAAGGGCTCAAGGATACAGATAGAGTGATAGACTATCTCATGCTAAGATGTGGACTCTTATGGTGCTTTGAATTGAAGTGTACGTTTGTTTAAAATGTTATCTTATATAAGACCTTTATTAAATTATTATGCATGCTATTTTGGATATTTTTGTCTTACAACAAATGCTAGAAGTTAAAGACTAATAAGACTGAGGTGAACAAATAAGAAGGAAAACATAGTGATGGTGGTGAAGAAATCAAAGAAAAAGTGAATGAAAAGGCGAAAGTGAAGTGGGACCCAATGTAGATCTTTCATCACAGAAAGTGTCAAAGGAGGAAACTACACAATATATGAACACAAGTCAAGATTCGAATTTGATGCCATCTGTTGGGATTGATATTGAAGTTAAGAGACATGATGACTGGTTGGGTACATGAAGGGTTTTAGAGCTTGTTCATACAACTTAATGACGAGTTACTGAAACAAGAAGGTTCCCCTTTATAGCAATGTAGTATTAGGTTATATAGTTAGGGAAAACCTCTTAATAACAATGTAGAATCATATTCCTTTAATATCAATGTATTAAATTTTTTTGACATGATGTTATTGGATGAAATTTATTGCTTTGGTATATATGTGTTTCTATGTTTTTGTACTATGCACAAAAGAGTATCGTAAAGGCAGTCGTATATGCATATGATAAATGGTTGTTGAATATTATGACACGCAAATGCGTGTAATCTTCATTTATGACATGGGCTTTAATGATACACAATGTGTGTCCTAAAGGCGCATCGTAAGGTTACGATAGACAAATGTGTGTCGTCTTCCTTTATGACAGGGTCTTCCTTGATATGCATTGCATGTGATAAATGAGCGTCATAAATAGACGACGCGCAAAAGCGTGTCATCTCTCGTTATGACAGGGCCTTCCTTGATACGCATTTGCGCGTCGCCTGAGCATTTTATGACACACATTGCACATCGTAAAAGGATGTTTTTCTAGTAGTATCGTCGAGTAGAGGCGAGATTTGCACACGTTTTTAGCGAGCGACTCGACGAGTCTATATTCTAGACTCGACGAGTCCGTCTGTCTGGATGAAACCCTAAATCCCAGGGTTTGTACTCTATTTAAACGTCATTATAGCCTCCCATCCCAAACTCCAGCACCTTTAGAGCATTTCTCTATAAAACCCTAGTCCCTATTGTTGAGCTTGTAAGTTTTGTGATAGATTGGGAGTTGTAGAAGAGAAGGCAGGAAAGAGGATCAATAGAAGAGGAAGGAGATCCAAGAACTAGCTTCCATCTGCTTCATATTGTGGTAATAAAGTTACTACCTTCGTTATTCTTCCATTAAACCCTCTTTTATGCTTGTTTATGTCTCTTTTGGAGCCTTATATAATTTCAACTCGAGATTTGAGCTCTCCTTAGGATGGAGACCATAGATCTGGATGTTATTGAGCTCTAGGAACTCAATATAGCTACCTTTATGCAAATATAGCCTTGTTCCAAACCCTAAGTGCTTAGTGTTGGATGATTTGGGTCTTTTAACCCAATTCTCATGTGCATGCATGTAAAGTTGGAAACTTTACGTGCAAAACCAGCCCTAGAAGCCAAAACTATGAATTGGATGCACTGAGACCGACTAAAAGCGACTTTATTGAAGTGGCATGTAGGAGACTCGGTGAGTCCACGCCGTGACTCGGCGAGTCCAAGGCAATCTTCTTGCCTCAAGAACAGACTCGACGAGTTGTTCCTACAACTCGGCGAGTCACGGACTGGATGTGTTCATATGATGAAGGAGAACTCGACGAGTTGTTCATACTACCCAGCGAGTCGGATGAAGTTAGACTTGATGTTAGTATCGAAGAAGAACTCATCGAGTATTTGCCAAACTCGACGAGTAGAAGTGGGTAGAGGATTAGAAAGGATGATAGGGACTCGACGAGTTGGCAGCCCAACTTGGCGAGTCCGGTCAACTGAAAGATGACTTTGACCAGGATGTTGACTTTCACCATGGGTAAAATAGTCATTTTACCCTGAGATTGATTTTGGTCCGATGCAGTTTTCGGACTTCGGTCCGATGCAGAGGGCAAGGCCCTGGTTAGTTCCGGACTTTGGTCCGATGCAGTGGGTAAGGCCCAATAGTTGCTTTATATGTTATTGTGTGGTATATGGTAGTTTGGGGGAGCTCACTAAGCTTTGTGCTTAGAGTTTCAGTTTTTGGTTTTAGGTACTTCGGCTAGTAGGGGAAAGAGCTCGGGTTGATGGCATGGCACACACCACAGCTTCGGTTTATCCTGGTAGTTTTTATTCAGATGTTTTGATATGTTTTGACATCTATTGATTTGATACATTCACTTTTACATTTGAGACAAGTGATTCGTGGTTTTATTATATGATGATTAATTTCATGGTTTTAGTAATGTTTAAAACAAAAAAATTGAACTTCACCTTTGAAATCGAAGTCTTCTTGTTGTGGATGGTAAAATAGATACGGTCTTTGTTTTTGTCATAAGTCGCCGTGGAATAAACCTGTGATAACAGCGACATTGGGAATGCTTCAACCTGGGTTAGGGCTATAACCAGGGGGAATATTTTAAACATTCCACAACCTGCAGCATATATGAGTCATACAAGAACGGATTAAGTTCGATGATCATATTTTGGTTAGGTTTAATGGTGAGCAAGGATGATGATGCCGTCTAATCATGTACTCAAGAGGAAGTCGCCATTGATGAATGAAGAAGAAGATGAACAGTGTTTACTTGTTGTTTAAGTTTGAGAGAATTGAGTGCTGGTAAAAGACAAATAAAACATTCAACCCTTTATACACCATTGCCTGGAGAGAGAAAACCGTGATGATAATGATGAGATCACTAAAACATCGCCTGAAAAAGCGTGATGTGACAGTGTGGTTACTCTCAGGTATTCGTCAGCACGCATGGGTTTAGAAACCGATCAAATTCACGCGCCTAAATCTTATCTTCAATCGACGTTTGAAATTCCACAATAGCCCCTTGTTTGGTTGCAATAGATAACCCAAAACTCAAACCACACTGTAACCAAAATGTTGGAAAATAAAAATTTTCGTGCATAAGTGTGACAAAGATAAAGAAACAAATCAAATGTGTATGGGATGTGAGTGATGTCTTAGTATTAGATAGAAAGCAGAGGATTTCGGGCAAGAATCACTTCCTTCAAAGTCAACAAAGACTTAAAGTGCTTGTGTGGTTTCCCGAAAAATATGATAAACTGTTTGTTAATAAACATTGAAAGGCTTCTTTTAATCATAGGCTTAGGGTAGCTTATCTTCAACCGAACTTCAAGTTTTAACATAAAACCGAACGTTGGAAGAAGTACCTGTGAGACCGATGTGGTCTGTAGAACAGCTAGGTGGGATATATTATTTTAGTGACTATAGAGAAATCAGAAATCTAAAAAAAAATAAACTGGATCTCTTTGGGAAGAAATGCCTTGGCAGTAGACAATTTCATAAAAGATCACACAAAAATATAAAGAGAGATTTCCTAAGGTAACCAGTAAGTTCTTGAATATATAATTCACCGTCAATTCATTTTTGGTGTTGGATATTGGGTTTCAATCAGCACGTGGTAAACGTATCTAAGATCACAAACACAGATGTTGTGTAACCATAAACCTCAGTGGTAAATACCGAGAGTGTCAAGGGTTACATTGGTGAACCGAAAGTAGATGGAGAATATAAGGAGGTGGCTAAAGAACCAAATGTACCTTCTACTAGATAATCCTGACAGAGCAGAGAAACTCTTAACTCATATGAGAAGAGTAAGGTAGCTCTAGACCGAGTAGTATAAATTAGCCTGATTTGAAAGAAACGATAGGTGTAGATCGAATCATTAAGGCCTGCTCAAGATCGTAGAGGCTTAAGACAACATGCATCAGCATGCTTCTAGGGACCCTTAACTAGTTCATTTTGGAATTGAATCATACCTTCCTTAGATCCACAGTCGGTTATACGGGTATTTATATCACCTAAGAAGAATAAAGAAACACACCAAACAAAACAAACAGACAAACAAACGAGACAAATAAAACTTAGTGAAAGTTTTGAATTTTTCTGAAAAATAATAAAAACAGAAACATAAAATGCTCTTGGAGTTTTGAAATTTTTTGACAAAGAATAAAAACAGATAGAAAAAATATTTTTTGGATTTTTGAAATTTTTTGAAAAGGAATAAAACAGATAGATAAAATATTTTTGGATTTTTGAAATTTTCTGAAAAAGAATAAAAACAGAAAGATAGAATAATTAAGTTCAAATCAAAAGAAAGATATGCAAAAAAGATACAACCGAAACCTTATCTTTAAATGAGTGAAGCGAAATAGACCGAGCATTCGGTTCATTTCGGTTCCAGATAATTATGGAGCCGAGATAGACCGAGCGGTTTGTCCATTTCGGTTCCTTAAAAGTCTAGAGCCGAAATAGACCGAGCGGTCTGTTCATTTTGGTTGTCTAATTTTTAATGAGAGGTTTGAGGGTTCGGTACCGACTCTCCTTCCATCATGCCCAAGCCTTGTAAGATTTTGTTAAAGGTTGCTTCTGGTAAGGCTTTAGTAAAGATGTCAGCCAGTTGATCAGCAGATCAAACAAAGTGTACTTCCACATTCCCATCTTCTACATGATCCTTGATGAAATGATACCTAAGTGCAATGTGCTTGGTTTTTGAGTGTTGCACTGGATTATGACAAATCCTAATTGCACTTTCAGAGTTGCAATAGAGAGGAATCTTCTTCATACTTAGCCCATAATTTCTTAGTTGACTTTGAATCCAAACCGCTTGAGAGGTGCAAGATGTTGCAGCAATATATTCAGCTTTGGCTGTAGATAACAAAACACAGGTTTGTTTCTTGGACTGCCAACTAACAAGTTTCCCGTCAATAAACTGGCATCCGCCTGTAGTACTCTTTCGGTCTAGTCCACATCCTCCTAGATCAGCATCAGAAAAGGCTTGGA